TATTATTATCAGTAGTAGTAGTAGTAGCAATATTAACGTTATTATTAATTTAAATACTTTTTTTACAGAAGAGAAAGGTAATTTATAGTTACTTAAAAAAAATTTTTCACACACACTTGCACACAAACACACATACACACACACACATACATACACACACACATACATACATACATACATACATACATACATACATACATACATACATGCATGCATACATACATACATACATGCATGCATACATACATACATACATACATACATACATACATACATACATACATACATACATACATACATTCTTAGAAAATGTTTTAATGTTTTAATCTTGATAAATGTTAATAAAAATGTGCTACATAAGATGTTTTAAGACGAGGAGCAATTTATTTTCTTAATAATTACATATCATATGTACAGAGTGGGCGATTGTAGTAGCGTTAGTAGCGACAATGACCTCAACTTTTGTTGCTTTGGCAGTCGGCTTCGCTGTTGTCCTAATCGTAAAGAAACTTTTCACTAAAATGAAAGGTTGGTAATTATGATGATGATGATGTTGATGATGATGATGACGACGATGATGATGATTGACGACGACGATGATGAAGATGATGTTTACCAACTTTCCTCAGAGGATTCGACCAAAGGTAAAATTACTTGATTCAAGAAAGAATTTGATGTACACTGCTAAATAAAAAATATTACTACAACTGTTATTACTGATAAAACCGATGGTAATGATAATGTATGTATGTATGTAACCCTAACCCTACTTCTGCTGCTACTGCTGCTACCACAACTGCTTTTACTACTACTACTACTACCACCACTACTACTACTACTACTACTACTACTACTACTACTACTACTACTACTGCTACTACTACTGCTACCATTACCACTACTGCCACTATTACTACTACTGCTGTTGCAGATGATGATGATGACGATAATAATAGTAATATTATTATTGTTAATAATAACTTTATAATGTTTATTATTATTATTATTAATTTTTTTATTATTATTTATTATTATTATTATTAATTATTTTATTTAATTTTCACTTTGTGAACACTCCTCGAGTTGGCAGAACCCCTGATAAAAAAATCCCCAAAGGATAAAAAACCCCAACCGGCTCATCACTACTCTACGTCACTGGCTACGTCATCAGCAGCTGCAGCCAATCAGAGAACAGCATCTTCTTCTTCCGCTGCTGCCAAACAAGATGGTAATAAAGAGAAAAAGAAAAAGAATGATAATGATAGTGGTGGTGCTGGTGGTGGTAAGAGTGAGGCTGATGACGATAAATGAATAATTTTATTTATTTAAATTAATTTTCATTCTACTTTTAATATTAATTTATATTTTATCATCTTTATTTAAGACTATAAAATTTATTTTTCATTGCGTCATAGTTAAAAGAAATTATTTTCTCTCGGGCTTATTACGGAGAACATTTTGTGTACAATATCAATACGTATTCATGTGGTTTGTGTGCGTGTGTGTATACGTGTGCGTGTGTGTGTGTGCGTCAAACTTTTAAACGAAAATTTAATTGAATATTCATCCAAATATTTTACGGACCATCTAAACGAATATTTAATTCTACGGTGGCGTCATAAAAAAAGGATGTTTTTGTTTTGCTTTTAACGTAAACAATAATATCGCCCAATGGATTTAAGAGATAGACACTAACTAGTTAGTTAGCATGGGAACCAGAATCGCGGGAATCCCATGGTAGGAATCCCATGGTGGGAATCCCGCGAACTGGTAAAAATTAATTTTGGGAATGGGAGTTTTAAGAAATAAGGAATCGCTGTTCGGGAATGACGAGCGGGAATGGAAAAATGACACCAACATGCGAAAATAAAAGTCTATATTTAAATACGTACACTCGTACACAACACAGACCTATACGTGTGCGCTAACAAAGAAGATAACCACCATGGAATTATGTGGAATCAACAGAGCTAAAAAAATTTCCTATATGCTCGGGTCGAAAAAATTTGCTATTTAAGTACATATGCGGCCCTTGAATGGTAAAATAATTCTCAATGCGACCCTCACAACAAAAAGTTTGCCCATCCTTGCTATATAAGTCTATATAACTTCATATAATCCTATAGTAGAACTCTACATAACTCTATACAACCCTATATAACTCTATATAACTCTATACAACCCTATATAACTCTATATAACTCTATACAACCCTATATAATTTTATATAACTCTATACAATTCTATATAATTTTATACAACTCTATATAACTATATACAATTTTATATAACCCTATCTATACAGCTCTATATAATTCTAAAGAACTCTATACAATCCTGTATATGTGTTGAAAAATTTTGAATATGGGAATCACTGGAGTGAGATGAAAAAAATAGAGCTGTCGGGAACGTTGTTGTGATTGGAGATTCGGGTGGAAATCGGGATTGAGGGAAAAAAATTGGAGGGAATTTGGAAAGAATTTCAATCCCCAATCAACCCCCCAATCTCTAAAAGAGACTTGATTAACTAAAACAAACGTTTTTGATACATTTTTGATATAATATCATAAATATATTATTATTATTATTATAACCCCAAGTAAATTTTTTTTATTATATAAATTATTTCTATTGTAAATTATTCCAACATTATAATTTCTTTAAATAATTATAGACATTATGGTTCTTATTTTTTTTTACACAGAGATAAATACGTACATTTAAACATCGAGGCATCATTAAAAGCGATTCGAAATGACAGAATGTAAGTTTATAAATGGGATTGAGTTTTTAAACGCTACTGCTGCTACTGCTTTTACTTCTACTACTGCTGCTACTACTGCTGCTACTACTGCTGCTACTACTGCTGCTACTACTGCTGCTACTACTGCCGCTACTACTGCTGCCACTACTGCCGCTACTACTGCTGCTACTATTGATTTATTCATTCATTCATCCATTTACGCAATCTATTCCTTCATTCGTACAACCATTTGTCAATTTTTTTTCATAAATGATCCACTAATTCACTCACTAACTAATTCCATCATTCATTAATTCATTTTTATACACATACATTTATTCATTCATTCATTCAATTCACCTTCAGATGTAACGTTACCTAAAAATGACTGTGAGATTTCTAATTTTTTTTAAATAATTTGTTGACGATAAATAAATGAATAGATGGATTGATGAATGAATGAATGAATGAAGGAATGAATGAATGAATGAATGAATCAATCAATCAATCAATCAATCATTCATTCAATCAATCAATCAATCAATCAATCAATCATTCATACAATCATTCGACGATCAAACAAACTAATTAAAAAATAGATTTTTAGCTCATTAACAGACATTATTAACATTCTATAATAAGTTCAGTTTGTTAATTAGCAATTAAATTAATTAATTCACAAATTAATTAATAAATTAATATGTGAATTAGTTATTTATTTTCTGACGAAATTAATTTTTTTTTTTCAAAAGTCCACTTTTGGTACGACCGGCTTCCGTACGAATACACGAAGTTTACGCCCGCCAAAAGTATCGGGACCATTACAACACATTCATCATCCTCAACATCAGTTTTATCACTACCATCATCATCACCGTTATCATCATCATCATCATCATCTTCATAATCAGATGCCGAGAAGTCGATGAAGTTATATGAGAAAGCATCGGGTGAAGCTCTCACGAGGATCATTGCTATCGGAGCAGGTGACGATGGTGGTGACGATGATGATGATGCTACAACTACTGCTACTTTGGCTACTACTTCTACTACTACTACTGCTGCTACTACTACTACTACTATTACTGCTGCTGCTGTTACTGCTACTATTACTACAACTACTGCTACTACTACAGCTACTACAACTACTGCGGCTGCTACTACCACTATTATTAATAATACTGCCACTACTACTGCTATAACTATTACAACAACAACAACCACAACTACTACTACTGCTACAACCACTACTACTGCCAATAATAATAATAATAATAATTATAATTATGTTAATATTATAATTGTAATTATCTTCGGCAGACTTGCACAACAGACACATGCACTCATCAAGCATCGCGAGGTATTTCAAGAGGTTCATCTCAAGTCGGTGGTCATTGATAATAATAATAATTAATAATATTATTATTATTAATTAGTAATATTATTATAACAGTAATATATCGTATCGTATCGTAATAATAACAATAACAAACATAATCTATTTATCTACTTTATTATGAATAAGGTTGTTAAGGGAGGATTCATATTTAATTCAACGAACCAGTCGTCAATTATAATTAAAAATAACTATAGAATAAAATAATAATCGTTATTTTTAGTTATTATTATTATATTTATTATTATTATTTATTATTATTATTATATTTATTATTATTATTATTTATTATTATTATTATTATATTTTTTATTATTATTATTATTTGGAAGGTTTCCAGGACAGCTTGTTTAGCTTCAAGCCGGTCATGTCCAAGGATCTGGCGGACTTACTGGCGGAAGAAAACCAGATGAGAAGTAAGTAGGCCGCGAATAATTTATGTTAAATAGGATCGAAGTTACGTTATTTATAAATGGATTATGTTAATCCGTGACATACGTCATGTACACTTGATCTCCTTCCCACTCTGTTGATCCATGTTCCATGACAAGTCTAGTAAATTTGAGTCTAGCTGCTGATGCATTCTCTTCGTATTTCAAGCATGCTATTATCTTTCCCCGTTAAGAAGTTAATATTGATCGAAATGATGTTTCAAATTATTATCGACCCATTTCAAACCTTTGTTTCACTTCAAAGATTATCGAACGAACAGTTGCTAGTCAATTTATGAGACATTTGGATCTCAATCGTTTAATGCCTACTTAATCTACCTACAGATGTAGGTGATCATTCTACAGAGACGGCCTTACTACACGTGTTGTTTGCATTTTATTCGGGGATGGATGAACAAAAAGTTTCACTGTTAACCTTTCTAGATCTAAGTTTTCATTGTGTTGATCATTAGATTCTTTCGGAAAGATTATTTTATGATTTTGGTGTAACAGTTGTTTATGCGAAATGGTTTAAAAGGGTTTACCGAAAATTCATCGTGGGGTAAAATTCATCGTGGAAAAATTCATCGTGGGGTAAAATTCATCGTGGAAAAATTCATCGTGGTGGGGTAAAATTCACCATGGAGTGAAATTCATCGTATATATCGTATATAACATATAACGTATATAATATATACGTATAATATACAAAGTATACTGTATTGGAGGTTATATCAATAGGCAACGTATAGCATCCATGCTTATTAATACTATCATTTGTATACCCTTAGTATGGTATAGAAAATATATACAAAGGTGGACCGCGGACGTCGGACGTGTCTGAGTAAGTTAAGTAAAAGTCTATAATAAAATACTGTATGTGAAGTGTGTCAGAAATGAGGAAGTAGTTTTTGCCTCACGATTCGCTAATTTTTGTGTTAAAATGTCACTAGAATTCGTGTACAGTGAAAAAGGAAAAAGAAAATTAATTGACTCAGGTCACTTGTTCGTAAAAGATGCGGCTACAGAAGAAAAAACTTTCTGGAAATGTGATCAATATCAAAATCTTGTATGTCGGGCACGTTTGCATACTCGTCATGACAAAATTGTAAGGTGTGTCATTGCAAAAACTGTTTTTCACAATAAATTTTACCCCACTATGAATTTTCCCCCACGATGAATTTTCCCACGATGAATTTTCCCCCACGATGAATTTTCCCACGATGAATTTGCCACAATGAATTTTCCCACGATGAATTTTCCCCCACGATGAATTTTCCCACGTTGAATTTTCCCTCACGATGAATTTTCCCACGATGAATTTGCCACGATGAATTTTCCACGATGAATTTTCCGGACACCGGTTTAAAAGTTATCTCTCTATGACCGAACCTATCAAGTTTTTTATAATAACAAATTTTCAGATGTTGCTAAAATAGTTTGTAGTGTGCCACAGAGATCTGTGTTATATATATCATCGAATTCGCTTGAAGATTCAACATGGCTACACGAAATGTTTTAAATTCTGAGATTTTGTGGTTTTTATTTAGCAAACGTGAACTATTGAGCGACGAAAGTTTTGGAAGCGAAGTGGCTGAATTTTATACTGCAGAGCAAATCTCCTGTGGTAAAAAAATTTTGCTTACTGAACTTTAAAAATTTGAACAAAGAAATGCCAAAATTTTCTACTCGTGAAAACACCAAGTTTGATAAACTTTGTGATTTAATCGATGTGGTTAAATTTTCAGTTGAAAATAAATTTACTAACCTGTCGCCAATTTTTACAATTTTTGATATATTTCGAGTACCAAATCGAATGATACAAAATGTGGCAATTGTGAATAAAATGGATAGATTAAACGAAGAAATAGAACACAACATACAATTGTGACTGCACAACTAAGAGGTGCCAATGTTAACCTGCAAACTTCTAGTTAATACGCGTGTCTCAGCCGGCATGCAAGATACTTAGCAGGGAGTGCAATCCCTACAGTACACGCTAATGTACTAAATTTTGTAGATAACCTCAAGATAAAGATAAACCTCAACACAAATAAATCTGTCGGATTCTTCTTCTTTGTTGTTTTGTTAAAGTCTCAATCATGCTTGAAGCTAAACTAATTAAAATGTCGACATACAAAGGTTTTCTTTGATGTTATGTGAGAATCACAGCCACCACTAAAATCACAGTGAAGGTTTAAAATATGGTTTTATTGATGTAGTTTTAATAGAAACTTCAAAGAAATTGGCGCTTTGTATGTTTTCGTGTACTTCAAATTTTTTAATTTATCATTAAATGCAAACATTTCAATATTTTACTACTGGTTGTTGGTTGAGCAAAAAGCGGGACATGAGGGGCAAAATTAGGGACTGTCCCGTCTATTTTGGGACGATTGGCAACTATGTTATTGCTATGTTTTGTTCTCTGGCATTCCAAATAAAGTGACTAGTCAGCCGCAGTCAATACAGAATCGGACTGCAAAGATTGTAATGGGTGCATCAAAGTTCGAACATGTTACTGAGAAGGTTTGAAGAAGCTCCAAACAGGCGCTCATAGTGATAATAATAATTGCGAATAAATTATGTTGATTGTGAATAAATTATGTTAATTATGAATAAATTATCGCCAGCCGCCAATGCGGAGTGCGAAGATAAGAAGAAGACCTTTGATAAGAAGCTGATTAGCGAACTCTCAACTAAGAAACGTTAGTCCTTCCTTCGTCCTGATTGGTCGCTATTTTTAACTTTTTTCTCTGTTATTAGAAAAAGCATCTATTTTTAGAAAAAAGCATCTATTTTTAGTATGCCAGCTATTTATAGCTGGATATTTTTAGCACAGCACTGTGGTTATTTTTAGTACGGTGGCTATTTATAGCATCAATGGTAAATAGAGTGAATAAGTTTGAAATAATTAATAATAATAATAATAATAAAATAATAATAATTTTTACAAACAGTCGATAGGAAATTTCTGTTAGAATACAAGGAGTACATTGAAAGTACGCTGGCGTCCGTCATGATGACGATGACGACGATGATGATGATGATGATAGTGATGATGATGACGATGACGATGATGATGATGATAGTGATGATAGTGGTGGTTATGATAACGATGCAGAACATCTTGAACCATTTCCTGATTCGCTGGTGTATGCCTTACTGAATGAAAAGACCCAGGAAGGCCCGGCGTTATATTATTATTATTTATTATTATTATTATTTATTAATTATTATTATTATTATTATTACCATCTTCTTCATCACCATCCTCATCTTCTTCATCACCCTCATCATCATCTTCATCACCCTCACCATCATCATCTTCCTCATCATCATCACCATCATCATCTTCATCACCATCATTCTCATCTTCTTCATCACTGTCTTCATTTTCTTTATCACCATCATCATCTTCTTCTTCATCACCATCCTCATCTTTTTCATCATCCTTATCACCATCATCACCATCTTCTTTATCGTCATCATCAGATGGTAGCAAGATAAGAAGCG